ATGGGATTGTAATGGGATGATACGAACGGCTCGGCTTATATTTCATAGGATCCATGGTGCTGCTATATATGGTGTGCCATGGATCCCATCAATATACCCCCTTTATGCGTCATGGGTATTGGCTTCATGCTGAATAAGTGTTAATCCCGATGACTGGGATATTCTTATAGTGGTTGGTTGATGAATAGAGAGGTCCACACGATACAATTTCTAGAGTAGGCAAGTGATAGTGAATGCTATGCCAGATTGATATACCCTCTGGCAAACTAACATAACTATGGAAAATCACCATGTTTCATGGGCGTCATGGGTAAATCAACTATTTCTATGACCATTTTCAATAGCTTTTTGTTTGTTTACCACAGTTTATCTCTAGTTGATTCAAAAAGACACTGATTGAGTCGAAGAAGCTTCCGAAACCGAAAAGGGATTTTCCGCCATGAGGCTGTTGACCTTGTTGCATGGGGATGAAAATGGGAACAAAAATGCTTGGCAATGGTGAATCATTGCCTAATTAATTAATTTGTTAATTCATGGGATACAATAACACCATTCAATGCTATTAATTGGATAATTCAATAGTAATAATAACATATTAAATCACTATTAACTGGATAGTTCAAATGGGGAACAATGGTGAAACTACTGGGACATAACGGATAACAATGAAAAAACATAGCGGCAATAGTGGGATTTAGCGGTGATATAACAATATAGTCGGGAAGGTAACGGCTGATAACCAACAACCTTTTTCAATTGGTGGTTCAATGTTTGTTATATGATATATGATTTTTTGTATCCATTGACATGATTACATTGGTTTTATATATAATAATGGCATTTTTTAATGTCAAATGAAGTGTTGTATTCTTTACCCACGAGTAATAACTCCCCAGTTTATCAATACAGTTGTGCCAATTTTGACCGTAATTTATCACTATCTTTGGCGGTACCCCCCGACTATTATTGGTCAAGGTAAAAAATACCAGGTTGACATTATGACCAACTATGTTTGGAATATATGATGGTTATGTAGCAGTTAATGTGGAGATATATTGGAGATATAATATATATTTCACAAATAATATGGTTGGTTTGATGTAAAAGGGGTATATACCTGGAGAAACTTGATTGATTGGGAATTCACATGGCTTAAGATGGTTTAGATAACTTTTAAGTTTCGAATTTCACACTCAACATGGCGAATCCAAATACATCAAATACGCCTAGTCCAAAGAGTCCAAAGCTAAGGATATGTAGCTGCACATCCCCATTCTTGCAAATGATTCGCTCGTAAAATTTGGGAGTTCCTGTATTCTCAATGGCTGCTGCATCCATCGCAAGCTTTTGGTTCCGCAAATGCCAACGGGGATATATTGGGATGTTCAGGTTCAATGTCCCAAAACATCAGGGACACGAATTGACTGTAAAATGTATGTATTAAATATATATATATAGACAGACAGGCCACAGGCCATATCACCGTGAAGAATCGAGTCTACTTGCCGAAGGCGGACATGCCATAAACGACTTGGAGAAACCTATGTATCGAGGTATTGGAGAAACCGCCCGGTTGCATGGGATAGATACCGCCAGAGGCCGGTTGCCCATGTGGAACGAACACCATGTTTGAATCTTGGGGTCGTTCCGAGAACTATGATGAAACTGATCCTTTTTGAGCTATGAGCAGGGGCCTGCAGTCTCAAGAACACCTTCCAGATGGCGAAGAGTTGCGATCCTCTTCGCAGCATCTTTGTTCAGACGGACCCAGGTGGGGTTTCCAGAAAAACACCGAGGAGCTCGTCATTTAGAATTAGGTTAATGGGATGACCCACTTCCCAGTGGTCAGCGATGGCGATTTGATGGTGACTCTACGGGGACTTGCCGCCCCCAGGATCGTCGGCCAATGATAGGGAACACATAATTCTCAAGTCGTGGCCCATCTATTATAGTGGCTTATTAATGGTTAATAGATGTTAATAAATTGTTAGTAGTGATTATTGTTTTTAGAACACTGGTATACTGTGGGTAAAACAGTGCCATAGAACCAGCCATTTGAGATTGTTTTATACCACCATACACCAGCTATTCATGGTGATGACTCTGATGACTGGTTTATGGATGTTTATGGCATTGTTTTACCCACATTAACATCATTAACCATGGAAACTCAAGATCAACAATGGGAGTATTCCAAAGCAACGGCTGGGAGATGATACCAAGACCGAGCCCAGGACTGGGGGATGTTTGGCGTACGTGAAATCCCCATGACGCTTTTAGCATCCATTTCTAACCTTATGGGATCCATATGATATCCCTATTATATCCCTATCCTCTATACTAGTAATTGCGAGTGTATATATATATAGTATATATATATATAGTATTATATATAGTGTATATATATATAGTATTATATATGTATATAGTATATATATACAGTATATGTATATATACATATATATATATATTTTAGTATACACAACGGCTGCAGATTTCCCCCACTTCACTTCAGAAAAGGCCAGATTTTCCAGCAGCTAGGCCATCCAAACGGCGCACAGCAACTTCTTCGTGGAAGAGGATGACTGCGGAACGGCCGAGGGCAATGGGTGGACTTGACGGCGTGCCGGGATAACTCTAGGACTTTTTTGTGGACTTATGGTAGGTGTTTAGAATTGTATAGATATGTAAAATAAACTATAATGAACTATCATGAATCATCATTATTGATCATTATTAACCATTTAATCATGATATACACTTTCTGGTTGGTGGTTTGGAACCATGGAATTTTATGACTTTCCATTCAGTTGGGAATTTCATCAGATCCCAACTGGCGAAGTCATATTTTTCAGAGGGGCAGGTATACCACCAACCAGTTATGGTGTTACACAGCAACTTACAACTGGGGGCCACCACATCCTAGAGAAGGGATGCATTGATATTTGATATTCTGTATATATAAAGTTCTTTAATATCCAATGAGGTGGATGAACATCCACTCAGAATTGTTGGCTGTGTAGTGCAATGTGGCTGGTTGATATCACACTAATGAATCAACAATAGTAGGGATTCAACAAATGAATAGTAGATCTGTTTGAGATATTCTGTGTCAACCTTGGATGAGTATTTTAATCATATGTTGCATGTTTTTATGTTTTTGTTTGATGCCATAGTTTTGGGTACATATATATATATACATATATACACATGATACTACATACTAATATATATATATATGTGTGTTATGTTTTTAATTATGTACATTACATATACTTCACTGACCAGCTACAACAACAGAAAATGCAGGGCATCTAAGATTAGCCAACGATCAATGCTGGATGATTTGAAGGTCCTCTTTTTTTAGGAACCCTCCTAAGGCGTGGCTTATCCCACTAGAAATATGGTGATTCAAAACCAAACATATGGTTGGAGATTGTAACCTTTATGTTTTATCAATGACAATCAGTATTGTTCCATGAATATGGGGCAAAATTGGGTCCTTGAGAATTGGAATCTGTATATTTTAAAACCCGAAGAATGACCGTGTGCGGTCAAAAAACCTGGCTTTGACCCAAACGATGATGTTAGTCAAGATGTGTCATCGAACAGTAAAGGGAATACCTAACAAAACCATGCCGATAGGCCACTTGATCATATGGGGGTTTCCGAAATAGGGCTACCCCGATTCGTCATTTTGTTCGGGATTTTCCCAAACAAAAACCATCCATTTGGGGGTACCACCATTTATGGAAACCTCCATATGATCAAAGGTGGTTTTGGCATAGGAACCACCGATAGTGTCCGCCACTTTCCTGATCTGAAACAGTTGGACGTATGGCAACTCTGAGGTAATCTCACCTGGCCTGCGTTTCCAGAAGTTGATTTTCTGGTACCCGGCCTGGTAAACATACAAAAAGCTATTGAAAAGGACCATTTATAGTGGATTTTCCCATTGAAAATGGTGATTTTCTATAGTTATGTAAACGTTTACCAGAGGGTAGCAAAAATGATGATGTTCTGATGTTCCCATCTCAAGCCATGGATGAAATACATGTTATCCCATCAGCACGAAGGCGCTCTTGAAGAGTGTGATGCTCTTCATCCCAATGGGTCGAATCTTAGTGGTCAACTCTTACTGTTTAGCCATGGTGATTTATGGGGAATAATGGTGATTAATAATGTGATTAATGGTGATTTATGGTTATTCTATGGTTTATGGATGATATCTGGGGAGATTATAACGACCTCACTGTCCTCCCGAGCCCTGGAATCATGGTTGATAAGCGAAATCATCCCCAAATGGCCCAACATTTCAGGTTAGTGAATTGTTATAATTTACCTAGATATATGTCTCCATCCGCGTCGCTGAAGCCATTTGCTCAACGGCTCAACGGTCGAAGTTCCGAAGAGTTCTGCGAAGATGTGTGAGCCGTTTGAGCCGTTTGAGGCACTTCCGTGATGCTAAAATGCCCCATTGACATTGTGGAATTAGCCGTTGAAAATAGTGATTTTCTCCATATTTTTGTAAACGTTTACCAGAGGGTAATCACCATGGTAATAACCATCATGAACTGGTTTAATATGTAAATAATCATGGTAATATGGTAATAATGGTAATAATGGTAATAGTGGTTAAAATGGTAATAATGGTAATACGGTAATTATAATGATTATATAATGGTAAATAATCATCTGGTTGGTGGTTTGGAACCATGGAGTTTTATGACTTTCCATTCAGTTTGGAATTTCATATTACCAACTGACTTTCATATTTTTCAGAGGGGTAGGTTAACCGCCAACCGGATATGATCAATTTGTCTGAGGTCAAAAAAACAACCATGTCTAGTCTCCAACAAAAGTGGCTCTGACTGGCAGAAAATCCACAGATCAACAACATTTGCATCTATGATTATTTGATATATATATATATAGATATATTATAGCCATATTTGATATATCTACTGGCAGAAAATCCACGGAAGAAACTCCTTTTGACGTCAACTGACGTCAACTGGTTGGGATTCAACCCTCCGCCAGAGCCCGGCCATGGATTTCGGTGAGGTTGCTCTGCTGGCGGTGCGCCTTGGCGGTGTTGTTTGGACGGTGATGGTTTGGAATCCAGTGGTGATTTCATGGTGAAAAACGCATGAAACAACTATGATTTGATAGGACACATGGTGATATATGGATAAATATGGTGATTTAATGCGAATTTCATGGGGTATGATTGGCATTCCTGTATGATATTTTATGATAGGACATAAATAGGCTTTGGTTGTGGGGTACTGGGTTGCTGGCTATGGGTGCATCATTGTGTGTGTGTGCCATGGTCAAAAGTTGGATAATTGCAGTATAGCATTAGACATATTGATTTTTGCGGGGCTTTAGCGGGATATGACTGGAGATACTTTAGAACTAACCAACTCCTATCAGTAAATAGTTGACTAACCAACTCCAATCAGTAAATAGTTGTCCAATCCCATGTTATTACTGTTAGTTAACCAATCCAATAGTTTGACTGTTTTTATTACTGTGAAAAACACATGGGATTGGTCATTCCTGAATGGGATTTCCCCTAAATGGGATGATCAGGATGATCCTCCGGCCATGTTTCAGTTCAACGATATCAAACAGAAAATATGTTGGGTTACTCTACCGACTTTCGATATTTTGAGCGACATGTTTTAAAAGATAGGTGTTGATTTTCGAAATCTCCCGTTCACGGGATAGGGGTGCACTACATCACATAAACATATATACACATTATATGCGTGACATATGTAATATATATATATATACATACATATGACATACATACTTTCTTGCCACCTACAAAGCACCCGAGCGTCCAACTCAAGTTAGCTGTGCTGAGTAGTAAGCGGGTAGAAGTTTGTAGATGGTTGATTTTGCAAAGTGGCCCATAACCAGTAATAACCAGAGGGTTTATGTATGTATATATATATATAGATAGATCCCATTGATATATATATATATATAGCTAAATTTAGATTTATAAATGGGATATATATATAATTATATATATATATTGATATATATATATATATATATATTGATATATATATATTGATATATATATATATTAATATATTTATATATATATATCAATGGGATCTTCAAATGGATCTTTGTGATTATAGATCCCTGTTGCGCCAAGGAGCAGCTGTTCACTCTTGGTGCATCTCTTGCTGGGCGTTTGGAGAAGCCACGGCGTCACCAGGTGCTGGAACGGTGCTGAAACGGGAGAAATATTGGAAACAAATTGGGATACAACGTTTTTCATGCTGAAGTAAATTACTGGAAAAATATTGGGATACTGTAAAATTTTCATACTGTAAAATTGGGATACTGTAAAATTTTACTGTAAAATATTCATTGGTAAAAAACAATGGACATTTTGGAAACTTGGAAAGAAGTGAAAATTAGTTTGATAAATCTTGGAAACAAAGTGGGTACTGTAATATTTATCCCGGATAAACGTTGTAGACATGGAACAGCAAGATGGGGGTTGAAAACAAACTTCATTCTGAGAGGCAACGATGAAGATGATTGTTAATGGCACATTTCAGCCCGCGACTGCCAGGGTAAACCTGCCCCAAGAGCGGACAAGATGCACGGCTGTGTCCAAAATGGAAAACACCATCAAACATGGCTAGAAAGGGACATCCATAGTCTTGTGAAGGTTCTTAATTCATCATTTCATATCATTTCTCAGTCCACTCAAAATCCACTCAACAGGAAAATCATGTCTTTGTTTTACCATGGGTGAGGTATTCCCAGTTGCTCCTTGAAAAAGGATGGACGAGAGGATCAACCCATTTCCGGCCGTAGTCATGGGGGTACTCCTTTTTCGCTGGTTGATTGCTGGAAAAGCCTATGAATAGATGGATGAATCCGGGTAGCCCTATTTTAGGAAACCCGAAAATATATCTGTTTGGTAAATGCCGACATTTGTTGACTAAGATATGTTAAGATCACCTTATGGATTATGATAGTCACAGCATCCGGTCATCGTCCACGTGGCAATGGAAACTCCTCCATTTCATTCGATGGATTTTCCCAGTACCGACCAGGTCCGTACCATAGGTCCGGCTAGCCGGGTTGCCAAGTCGCACGGTTTTGATCCATGAACGTCCCAGGCATTTGATGATATCACGAAAAATCCATTTCCAAGCCATAGTCATAGTGTTGCTACCCGGCCTGGTTATGTCAAAATAGCTACTGAAAATGGGTGATAGAAATAATTAGTTGATTTGACCACTAATAGCATGGTGATTGTCCATATAATTATGTTGGTTTACCCGAGGGTAAATATTGCAATTATATCCCCATGAAATCGCCATTCAATAGTTGATTGAATCCTCTTCACCACCGCTTGAGTTTGACTGGTTATATCTCAATTCTGTTCCATTGTTTTAAGAAAAAATCTTGAGTTTGATTGCTCATATCCCACATATATTATATCCCACTTATATCCCTAATTTTTGCTGATCATCTGATGTAAAAATCTCCATTTTTTTTGCGCTGGAGGCCTTGGAGATGGCTCAAGGACTGGTGTTCGGTCTTTCTTTGGGGCATCCAATGGGAAGAAGGCGTCGACAAGGCCTGGTTTCCAGGTGAGGGCAACGTTTGGGTGAAGCGTTGTTTTTTGTTTTGCGGAAAGAACGGGTGGTTATAAGTTATACTTGGTTCTTAAAGTTTAATTTAATGTGTTGGTTCACAATCTTCATCTTGTACGTGTTTCATGAGTTTCATAGATATTTTCGTACAGCTGGTTGGTGGTTCATCCAAAGAAGTGGCGAGGGGGTCATAAATGGTCATAAGGTGTTTTGTTTCATCCCAATTGTCTTAGTGAGCGATCAACCTACTTGCTCCATGTGTATTCAGGTTTGAAACCTACTTTCTAAAGTAGGATGGACAATTATTCTCTGGTATCATAGATCGCTTGTTGGATTTTCATATGTAAATCATTGTGTTTATCATCTATATCATCTATGTCTATGGGCCAGTTTCAATAGCTATGTTCAGTCATAGGCTCTTATATGACAAGCTACTTATCTCCCTTACACCCCGCCCAGGGTTCCATGATTCAGGCAAACCGGATGTTATTTTTGGTTGAAAAGAAGGTCTTGGAATAACAGCTCACTAAATCCAAGCTGCTCCTCAACTTCACCAGGTGAGAAAACTGGGTGTAGTGGCTTCTTCCCACGACCTTGCCGTTAAATCAATGGGAAAATGATGCTGATCAATGGTGATCTATGGATGTTTTATTCGGAAATGGGTTGTATACCGTTTTCAAGAAATGGTTTCTATGTGTTTTTTGATACTATACTGTACTATTGAATCATAGGGCAACGGATGTTGAAATCCGTTGGGATTTTGCTGTTTTGTTCCTGTTGTTTTCAGACATGTTCCATGTGTTTTCCCCTTTCAGGTGGTGGCGGAGAAGTTGACGAACACTCAGAGACGCCTAGGGAATCTGGGCGCAGCACTGGTGGGATGCTAAAGTGAGGTTGGGTGTCTCAGGGTACAACGACATCTGGATGAATTATATTGACCTCACTGAAATGATATTGATCCCCATTTGATCCCCATTTGATCCCCATTTGATCCCCATTTGATCATATTGATCATTGGCTGGTTGATATAATTCATCCAGATATATAAATATCAGTATTTATAATGGTTATTTGATATGTTATATGATATATTGATATATGATAATTATGATAATTATGATCACTGATATATGATATATTTGATTTATGATTTTCCCATGTTATCCGTATCGCCGTATTTACCATTATAGATTTCAGCTATTTTCAGGATCGTGAAGCGGCAATGCAAAGAGGAAGGGAGCAAGGAATGGCCGTGTGGAAACTGATGGCGGATGAGGCCGAACTTGCACAAGGTTCAACCAGGAAAGCGCCTCAAGAGTCGCCGATAGGTTGCGCTGTCTCGGAAACACGTTCCCGGGGAAATTCATGAAAATACAAAATGAAGGCAATTGGGTCGCCGGGGGGGTATACCTTCATAGTCCCCTCCATTGTCCCCCCTATTGCCTTTACATTTTAGGGGCTATGTAACCCTGGGAACTGCCACTATCTGACAAAACTCCCTTTTGCTTTTCTTGGGGGTACTCTAGGACTCTAGGTGTTTCCCCAGGGTGTGCCGGTGTATCGACCCCCGGTCTTATATATTTACTGGGTCAACCTTGGTTAGATACGAACTAGTACTTCAATCTTTTGCTATCAATGGTAACATGTACTAACCAGCTAAACATTAGTTTTTCGACAGGTATCCAAGATCCACCATGTATTTATTGTTGTTAGTCTCCCCTCTTTGAAATCAACTACCGCACCCTACCAGAAGTTGAGAACCAATGATGGGTGAAAGTACTACGGGGCAGACCTCGACCACATGACCTACTACACAGTTTATGTGTTCATCTGCTCATTCCACAAGATTTATGGTAACCCACATATATTTTCAGATATCTTTCGATATTCAGAATTAATTTTGAAGACAGTATGTTGTCCTTCTGACGTGGTCCCCGCTATATGTCATACATTTTGGCATTAACTTTAGGGACACTGTCCCCCTAGGTTGATAACATTCAAGCCCCTAAAAATAATAGAGACTGTCTCCCCTAGGTTCCATACATTATCAAAAATGTATGGGGAGGGGGCGTGGCTATAAAGTAGTTAGGGAGGCTAATAATAAAAGCATATATACATATAATTAATTACATATACATATATATATATATACATAATCATATTTTATACATATCCACATATGTATGTTCATATATATATATAGATATCCATAGATTTTATTATATATACATATATTCATGTTTATGCTAACGGGTGCAAAACCGTACGTGTAGTGACACACATTTTCAACATTCCCAATTTCACATCAGGGTGGGGTGGGGTGGGGTGGGGTGGGGATGTTAACGTTCGTTTGAAGTTGAACACGCCATTGATGCTACGCTGAGCATGGGGTGGGGTGGGGATGTGAACGTTCGTTTGAAGTTGAACACGCCACTGATGCTACGCTGAGCATGGGGTGGGGTGGGGATGTGAACGTTCGTTTGAAGTTGAACACGCCACTGATGCTACGCTGAGCATGGGGTGGGGTGGGGATGTGAACGTTCGTTTGAAGTTGAACACGCCATTGATGCGACGCTGAGGGTGGGGTGGGGTGGGGTGGGGATGTTAACGTTCGTTTGAAGTTGAACACGCCCTGATGCTACGCTGAGCATGGGGTGGGGTGGGGATGTGAACGTTCGTTTGAAGTTGAACACGCCATTGATGCTACGCTGAGCATGGGGTGGGGTGGGGATGTGAACGTTCGTTTGAAGTTGAACACGCCATTGATGCTACGCTGAGCATGGGGTGGGGTGGGGTGGGGATGTTAACGTTCGCTTGAAGTTGAACACGTTACTGATGCACAGGTCTACATGCACAATGATCACTGAAACTGGCAAGGCAAAAAAAGGTCCGGATTTCGTGTGGAAGGGTTGCCAAACGCAAGAAAAATGACCTTTTTTTTTTAAAGGAATTTTACATTGAGACGGCTACGAAACACTGAAAGGGTTGTCATTTTTTGACCATGGTGATGCGCCTACACGCGCGATTCCGCACCCGGCGGGTATGTTTATGTATGCACACATGTCTGGCTTTTAAAGAAGTCACATATTCGGCCAAGGACCTTGATGAGCAGCGCCACGTTGAATTTGTACAGCGTCTCTGCCAGGGGCCCCAGGGGCCCTGTCCGTCACGCCCGGCCCTCCAGGGAACTGGAGGACGGATTGGGAATTTATATAGGGATTGTATGCCACATATGGGAAGAAATAGACAATACCCTCTGGTTACGTCAAAATAGCTATGGAAATGGATGTATTATATAGTTGATTTACCCATTATAATAGCATGGTGATTTTCTATAGTTATGTTAGTTTACCAGAGGATAACTGGGTTAATTTATAGGTTTTCATCATGTTTAATGTCGGATCTTGATTAGTGTAGGGGGGGCCCCAATACCGTACCACCCCAAGAATTGCACTGATTCAGAATTATTTTGGGAGAACTTGACACAATACAGTATCCCCACACTAATCGGGATACTACATTAATCTTATAATTTTAGGATTCAGGTTTGCATAATAATTAATGGCGATGCATGGTGATTATTGGTGATTACTAATGATTAATGGGAGAATGGCCTACCAGTTGTAGTGATGGGTAGTGATTAATAGTGAGATTAGTAATGAAAAATTGCATGGGGGGTGCTATGATAACCATACCCTTTGGCCATCAAACATGGCAAGCTGGAAACCCTCTATCAATGCTGTTTGAATGAGAATTTTCCTTTGCCATATTTGACTACTGGAGGGTATATAAATAGGGAATGCATGGCAAATAAGTCATTTAACAAACAGACGAAAAGGGTTTATCACAGGGTTTAATCTAGTGAATCTAGTGTTTAAATGAGAAACTATCCCAAACTAGTTGGTGGTTTGGAACATTTGGATTATTTTTCCATTCAGTTGGGAATTTCATCATCCCAACTGACGAACTCCATCATTTTTCAGAGGGGTAGGTATACCAGCAACCAGGAAACTATCCCAAAATGGCTAAAAACCGCAGGTTGACGGATTACTACAATTTCTCCAGATCAATGCTTTGATAAACAGCAGCGATGAGCCCTTGGGGCCCTTTATTAGCCACCAGAAATCTGGGAGAACCAAAAGGCCAAATCTCGGGATTTCCATAGCCATGGGGATACCCATCAAATAGTTGGTTTCTGATGGAAAATCCCAGTCCCAAATGGAGGATGACTGGGGGTACCCCCATGACTTAGGAAACCTCCAGTAACAGTAGCCGAAGTGTGTTACCACCGATTCGCTGTGGCCATAATTTACCTAGCGTAACTGTGAGCAACCCAGCCCGAATACCGTAAATGTCCCGTCATTAAATGTTAATGCTCCATAGTACTGCTGCAGCATTTGAGAGTGATTCATCACACCATTCTTGGTCAATCCCCATGTATCACCATTCGGAAAGGTAAATCATGGTAAATCCCCATGTTCAGTTATCTTCACTATATCTCTATGATTGAATCCTCCTGTTCAACATTTCAATGGATTGGTTTTCACGGGAAAAACAAATCACCGGAAACACCATATCGTATCATATCGCTTTTGAATGGGAAATTCGATGGTCTCTGCTTATAAGATTCTCCCAAGAAAACCAATCGATTGAATATAGAAACATATGCTGGTTGGTGGTTTCAAACATGAAATCTATTTTCCATTTCATATATGGGATGTCATCCTTCCCATTGACGAACTCATATATTTTTCAAGAGTGTTATTGCACCACCAACCAGTATTTTGGGGAATGGTTCAATCACATTTTTTTATGCCATGAACATTTGCCATTTCTCCAGGTGTCCATATTTTCCGCCAGGTGTTGGTCTCCTTATTCCTGGGACGTCCGACCTTTGCCTTGAGCCAAGAGGTGGGTCCGTTGGCGTCGATATCCCGAAAAACTTGGCGAGTTACACCTCTTGTTATTGAACGCCATGGAAAATCCATGATTTCTATGGAGGTTTAGTTCGCAGGGAAAATCATCAATGGGCAATTTTCGCTATGTTAAATAACCAGAGGCTAATAGTTTGGGATGGTCTATTTTCTATAAACAGCTGGCATAAACATCTATAAACATCTGTTAACAGTCATAAACCACCCATTTGGGAATGGTGAAATATACATGTATAGATGTTTTTTTTAACCATCTATGGTTTTCAATTGAGGATAACTCATGAACTATCCAAGAACTATAGTTAAGACCCATTTAATACATGAACAGTTCGCCAAATTTCTGTGGGTCGGGTCTTAGATTCTGACCCACACCGGCCCAGACTCATTCGGATACAGCTGGGATGATGGTCAACCAGATAGGGTTTGATAGGGTTTACAATGATCTTGTCGTTTATTTTTATGGATTTTTTATTGAGTTTTCAGAATGGGCTTATGATAGGATATAATATGCCTACCCTGATGGTTGGATGATGAATGGGTGCAATTATAGGTTTTATGATGGATTCTGGACTGAAGTTGTCTACAACACAGAACTATAGTGGTGATATAATCGACCAGCTTGATATGATATTTGTGTGTCTGGAAATGGTGTGTAGACTATCGGGATGATGATAGCATGATAGCCTCGTTGCATACCCAGCAAGTGACTTTTGCTGGTGAGATCCATTAGAGCTGGGATTTTTCAAGTACCCTCTCTAAAATCGCCTGCCTCCGCCCGTGGTGAATGAAGATAACTGATATGTAAACATGCCGTTGTTTTGCCAATTTGACAACCAAGCTCTCAAAGGAGTATCCACTAACTGAACAAACGGAGTGAATTCCTGTTTCT